AAAATCTCAAAATATCTCAGTTTTACGATTTTTCAGTTTTTGGCGTTTTTGAATTTTGAATTTTTGTGTTTTTTTTTAATTTTTCGATTTATCAGTTCTTCGATTTTCAGTTTTGGGATTTTTCAGTAAATATTTCCATTTTACAGTTTTAGATTTTTCTATTTTTTGATTTGTCGGCTTTTCGATGTATCGATTTCACCTTCTTGATTTTTCAGTTTTTCGATTTTTGAGGCTTTTGATTTTTTATTTTTCTATTTTTTAATTTTTCAAAATTCCGACTTTTTGATTTTTTGATTTTTCCATTTCTCGATTTGTCGATGTTTCCATTTTTCAGACTTTTCAGTTTCTTGATTCTTCAGTTCTTCGATTTTTCAATTTTCGGATATTTCAGATTTACGAGTTTTCGAATTTTGGTATTTTTTGATTTATTTTCCTACTTTTCGATACATATTTAGATTTCTCGACCTCTCGATTTTCCAATTTTTCAGTTTCTCAGGTTTTCGATGTTTCAATTTTCCCCATTTTTTTAAATTTCTGTTTTTCGATTTTCCGATTTTTCAGTTTTTCGCTGTTTCAATTTTGGGATGTTGAGTAAATATTTCGATTCCTCAATTTTTACATTTTTCGACTTTATACATTTAAAATTTTTCCATTTTACTAATTTTCATTTCGTTTCTTCGTTGAACAATCGAAAATAAAAAGAAAATAAAAAACACAAAACTAAAAAATCGAAGCATTTAAAAAACGAAAAACAGAAAACTCGAAAAACCAAAAATTTTAAAAATCGAAAAATTGGAAAACAGTAAAATCTAAAAGCGAGAAGTAGAAAAATCGAAAAATCGAGAAATTATAACATCAAAAAGTCGTATAATTAAAAAGTTAAAAAAAAAAATCGAAAAAATAATAATAATAATAATAATAATAATAATAAATAGAATTTATTTTCCAACAGACAATGAAAATGTCTATAGTGGATACATATTACAAAATCACATAATACAACAATAAAATAATTATATTTATATACAACCATTGATACTAAGTACAAAAATTTAAATTTAAATGTTAACGATATTGTACTGTTAACAATTCTTTCTTTACAACAGGGGTATTGAAATTTTTATAGAAAATATCGAACTGATAATTTTTTATAATTCTCTCGAATAAATGTTATTTTTATCTTTGACAGAGATTTTCAAAGTTGTGTAACAATTTTTGGAATTTTCGATTTGTTGATTTTCAACTTTCTATTTCTCAATTTTTCGATATTTGAGTTTTTTTTCTTTTCTTCGATTTTCCGCTATTTTAGTTTTACGATTTTTCAGTTTTAGATTTCTGTTTTTTGATTTCCCCATTTTTCAAAGTTTCGATTTTTCAGGTATTTGATTTCCCGATACTTCAGTTTTAGATTTTTCTATTTTCTGATTTTTTCATTTCTCGACTTTTCGATGTTTCGTTTTCACGTTCTTGATTTGATTTTCCAATTTTTTACTTCTTCAGTTTTTCGATTTTTCAATTTTTGGCGTTTCTAAATTTTCACTTTTTCGCATTTTCGACTTTTTGATTTTTTGATTTTCCCATTTCTCGATTTTTCGATTTTTCAGGTATTTTGATTTTTCAACTTTTCTATTTTTTAAATTTTCAATTTTTCGACTTTTTGGGGTCTCGATTGTTGTTTTTCGATTTTTAAAAATTTCAAATTTTCAATGCCTCCATATTTTTCGATTTCTCAATTTTCCGATTTTTCAGTTTTTGAAGTTTTCGAATTTTCAATTTTTTTGACATTTCGTCATTTCATTTTTTCGACTTCTTAATTTTCCAGTTTTTCAATTTTTCTATTTTTCGAGTTTTTCTGTTTTTCGATTTCTCGATATTTTAGAATTTCGATTTTTCGGTTTCCCAATTTTTCAGTTTTTGGATTTTTAACCTCTCGATTCTTCTTTTTTTTGTGTTTTAGATTTTTCAATTTCTCGATTTTCAATTTTTCAGTCTTCAATTTTTCAATTTTTCGAGTTCTTAAATTTCAGGTGTTTCAATTTTTCGGTTTTTCGAATTTTTGATTTGTCGATTTTTTAATTTTTCGATTACTCAATTTTCCCATATTTCAGTTTTAGATTTTTCTTTTGATTTTCCCATTTCTCGACTTTTCGATTTCACCTTCTTGATTTTCCAGTTTTTTACTTCTTCAGTTTTTCGATTTTTCAGGTTTTTGATTTCTGAATTTTTAGATTTTTCAATTTTTGGCGTTTCTAAATTTTCACTTTTTCGAGTTTTCGACTTTTCGATTTTTTATTTTCTCAATTCTCGATTTTTGGGTGTTTCGATTTTTCTGGCTTTTCATTCAACTTTCCAATTTTTTTAAATTTTGAATTTTTCGACTTTTCGATGTCTCGATTCTTCAGTTTTTCTATTTTTCAAAATTTCAAATGTTCAGTGTCTCTATATTTTTCGATTTCTCAATTTTCCAATACATATTTCAGTTTGACAATTTTTCAGTTTTTGCGAGTTTTCGACTTTTCAATTTTTCTATTTTTTGAGTTTTCGATATTTCGTTTTTTGGACTTCTCAATTTTCAAGTTTTTGAATTATTCAATTTTTCTGGTTTTCGATTTCTCAATTTGTTTCAATTTTGGGATTTTTAAATCTTCCGATTCTTCAGTTTTCTTTTTTTTAATTTTTTGATTTATCAGTTCTTCGATATTTCAGTTTTAGGATTTTTCAGTACAGATTTCGATTCCTCAATTTTTATATTTTAGATTTTTCAATATTTCGATTTTTCCATTTCTCAATTCATCAATTTTTCGATTTTTTAAATTTTAGATGTTCAATTTTTCTATTTTTTGATTTTCCCATTTCTCGATTTTTCGAAGTTTCGATTTCACCTTCTTGATTTCCCAATTTATTAATTTTTTGATTTATCAGTTTTCCGTTTTTCAATTTTTGGCGTTTCTAAATTTTCACTTTTTCGAGTTTTCACTCTTTTCGATTTTTTGATTTTCTCATTTCCCGACTTTTCGGATGTCTCGATTCTTCAGTTTTTCAATTTCTCAATTTTCCAATATTTTAGTTAATGATTTTTAAGTTTTTCGTTTTTTCGACTTCTCAATTTTTCAATTTCTCCATTTTTTAGAATTTCAATTGTTCGAATTTTCGATTTTCCGATATTTCCGTTTTAGATTTTTCTATTTTTTGATTTTCCCATTTCTCGACTTTTCGATGTTTCAATTTCACCTTCTTGATTTTCCAGTTATTACTTCAGATTTTTGATTTCTCAATTTTTCGATTTTTCAAATTTTTGGCCTTTCTAAATTTTCACTTTTTCGAGTTTTCGACTTTTCGATTTTTTGATTTTCTCATTTTTCGAGTTTTAAAATTTTCAAATTTTCAATGTCTATTTTTCAATTTTTCAATTTTCGGAAATTTCAGGTAACGATTTTTCAGTGTTTCGAATTTTCGATTTTTCTTTCTATATTTTTTGACTTTTCAATATTTCGTTTTTTCGACTTTTCAGTTTTTCTGGTTTTCAATTTTTCAATTTCTCCATTTTTTAGAATTTCGATTTCTCAATTTTTCGAAGTTGCAGTTTAGGGATTTTAAAATTTTTCAATTCTTCATTTTTTTTTTAATTTTTCGATTTATCAGTTCTTCGATTTTCAGTTTTGAGATTTCTCAGTACATATTTCGATTTCTCGATTTTTCTATTTTTCAGTTCTTCAGTTTTTCGATTTCTCAATTTTCCAAGATTTAGTTTTACGATTTTTCAGTTTTAGATTTTTCTATTTTTTGATTTGTCGACTTTTCGATGTTTCGATTTCACCTTCTTGATTTTTTAGTTTTTTACTTCTTCAGTTTTTCGATTTTTCAGGCTTTGCTTTTTCAACTTTCCGATTTCTTTAATTTTCGATTTTTTGTCTTTTGCTATTTTTTGATTTATTGTCCAACTTTTCGATACGTATTTAGATTTCTCGACCTCTCGATTTTCCAATTTTTCAGATTCTCAGGTTTTCGATTTTTCAATTTTCCCGATTTTTTTAAATCTCTGTTTTTGAATTTTCCGATTCAGGTTTTTGCAGTTTCAATTTTGGGATTTTTAGTAAATATTTCGATTCCTCAATTTTTACATTTTTCGACTTTATAAATTTTAGATTCTTCCATTTTACTAATTTTCGTTTCGTTTCTTCAATTTTTCGATTGTTTATATTCTAGATTTTTCAATTTCTTGACTTTTCAGTTCTTCAATTTTTCAAATTTTTAATGTGTCTCAATTTTTTGATGTTTCTAATTTTCGATTTTTCAATTTTTTGATTTGTCGATTTATTGACATTCCGATTTCAAAATACGCAAGAGTTTTTTAGAATTTTCCAAAGAAGCGGGATTTGTTGTAGTTTAATTCAAGGGCGAGGGAAGTTCTGTCGAAATCTCAAAACTGAAAGAAATATAGTCACAACGCGAACCCCAAAAAACCCTTCCGGTTACGCCACTGGCAATTCTTGACGTTTAATAAGATTCCAAAGGTAACAAGATCGCGATGAAATTAAATCGGACTTAGAGTTCGGTGTATCATTGGTTGCATATGCAGCATTTGTTCTAATTTAATTTCTCTAAACAATTTTTAATTTTGTTTTTGTTGTTGATAACAACAATAGTAAAACTCGCATATGTGCACGTTTAACCAATAAAAAATACATTATTTGTAAACTATGCCTTGGTAACTCGTCTAAAAATAAAGTAAACTTTGATTTAGGACTACACGGAATGTGTAAATCATTAGTTAAATCAAAATTAAGTGAGTACGTCCATGAGGATATCGATAACTCGATAAGTTGATTTCGTGATCAAAACTAAACTGTTTGTTTACTTTTTATTAATACTATTATCACCAATTCGTGATTTGATACCTATTATCTCATTGTGGAAAAATATTTATCACATGACGTAACGTCGATCAACAATTGTTACGAAATCATTTGTTAACTCCACGAAATAAAAAAATCAACCAGTTTTTAAATAATTTTGTTTTATTGATGGTCCACATTACACCATTCCCACTGGAAAATTAACATACACGTGACTAGGAAATGGCGAAAATTGGCCAAGGTTCCAGTTTATTTTAAAAATTCCATTACATAATGACCTGACACATTATTGGCGACGTTTTTTGTGCATTATTACTAAAGTGCAGCGATATGTAAATAAAACCTTACTTAAAAAAAAAATAAAATAAAATGAAGGAAAAATATATAGATAAGCGTAGTTATTTCCACCCATTCAACCCTTCCTATAACTGCCCTCCTGTTCCAGACTTCCCTAGTACGATTCTATTGTACGCCCCATTCATCTGCTCCAGGAAAATAAAAGTGAGGACTGTATGCGGCCCCAGTCTGAAGTAGTATGGAGTGAAGCCCTTCCACAACGCGAACGGCCCTTCGTTTTTCACGACTTTGACTAGAACATCCACCGCGCCCTTATACTCTGGCTTACCATCGATGGTTTTCATGTTCTGGATCCTGAAACGGTGGTTTTAGTTTGATGGGTGAGTTCAGGCCATGACGTACCTAGTTTTGGCGATATCCACCGGCATGGAAGCCGCTGTTGTCACCAACCCGGAAATCATGGAGGCGCAGAAATGCAGCAAAATCCCGTCCCTAAAGAACCCTGTGTTTAAAAGTATTTGTTTGGCTTGGGAATATGTGGCGAGTTGGGCCGCGTTCACTACCATGGCGCGACCCATGGTGGGTATGGCGCCCCTCCATAGCGTGAGCAGCCCTTCCTCCTTCGTTATCCTCAAAAGCGCATCGAAGACGTTTTTGTAGTTGCGTCTTTCGTTGGCGGGGAGGCGCCCGTCGGCGGTCATGCGAATGAGCGACACTTCGGCAGGGGTGCCTAGGGGGCGAAGTTAGCAAACAATTGGTGTTTAGAGGGAGCGAGTACCTACGAACGCTCCGACCATTCCGGCTGCCATCCCCAAGGCCGCTTTGGCCAGGAAGCTCGGGGGCTTGCCTTCCTGTGAGAACGTCTCGAACAGCCACGAGTAAACCCCCAGTCGCGTCGTTGTGTAAGTGGCTTGCCGGAGCAATCCCGCTGACAGCCCCGTATACATGGCCGTAACCCCCTCATTCGTGATGATTTTTTTAATAACTTGGACACTCGTGGCTCGTTCTTGTTGCGTGGCCGCCAGTTGCATCCGGTTTTTGACCAAGTCCAACGGCTGCACGAACAGAGTGGCCCCCATGCTGAAATTCAAAAATGGCGGGTTGGTAGTGCCAACTTGATGTCACTAAAAGTGAATTTTGGGCCGATTTTGGTAAAATTAGCCCCGAAATAAGCGAGACTTACCCCGCCGAGCCCCCGAAGAGGAACTTTACGTATTTTGGCATCGTTTTTTCCTTGGTGTCAGTCATCGTTGTACCTTCACTGCGACCCGCCGCGTTAAAGTGTCACCAGAAAATGACTTGTAAGTGAGCGTATTTGAGTAAAATCACAGCGAATATTTACGATTTGTCGGTGTAGAGGTTATAAAGGTCATCAAAATCCACCTTTCCTTCATCTTGTGGTGGGGCAATCGTACCAACGTAGGCAATCCATTATGCAGATTTGCTATGCGGGTTGCAGAAGTAGGTCACTAATCAAACTGTCAAATGAGTGGTAAGGGTCGGAAAATCGGGGTAGAATCGCAGGGAAAGCAGGTAAGGGGGCTGACAACACACACTCACACGCAAATCCGCCGTTTCAGCTACAATCCCCGCGAGTTTCCGCGTCCGCCGCCAAAATAACCTCAAAATTTTCGCACAGACAGGATGGCGAGCAACATCCCTGATTTCTTCTATTCCTGCGAGATCTGCGGCTTGGAGGGGCTGAGCGAGGACGAATTCAGGACCCACACACGCACAGCGCACGTGGACGGCAATGCCGTGTGCCCCTTTTGCGAACTGTCGGCGGTTTCGCCCGCCGAGCTCATCCTGCACGTCAACCAGGCCCACTTGGACTACCTGACCCCCGAGTCGGAGTCCAACATGACCTTCATCGACGACGTCAGTCCGAGGTAGGCCCCCCGAGGCGACCCGCGTTCTCTACCCGGTTTGCTTGCAGCGAGTACAACGGCATCAACGGGGAGAGCAGCCACAACTGGAACGTCCCGTCTCTACCCGGCCACTCCAACCACGTCAACAACATCAATAGCGGCAGTAAGAGTAACATTAATAACATTAACTTGTCCCCGAAAGTGAACGGGGGCGGCGAATTGAGTCCGAAGAATTCCAGCCACGGTCAGGGCTCGCCCCTGCGGTCCAGTCTAGCCTTGAAGTTGAAGAGTTCCGCGCCGAAGCTGCAGTGTCCGATGTGCAGCTACACGAGTACGAGTCCGAATGAGTTGGAGGAGCACGTGAATAGGTACGACCGTTCGGTTTGGGGTCCCGCGTAATTTTGGACTTCCAGGAGACACTTCGATCTGACGTCGCCGTCCGTCGGGGGGACGACCGGCGAGGTCTTCGCGTGTCCGCTGTGTGTGAAGTCGTTCAATTCGGCTCCGGATTTGGAGCTGCATGTCAATATTGAGCACAGAGACGTGCTGTCTCCGGCGAGTCCCGCCACACACGCGTGTCCGGTGTGTGGGATTAATCTTGACAACGAAAGTAATGTAAGTTTTATTCGTTGCGGTTAATAAGGTAATGGGCTTTGGTTGTTTGTGTTGGGGTTCTTTGACTTATCAGTATAGTAACCCACATTTTTTTGGCAAAACGTCAACGGCAACGGATCAATGTAAGTCAATGACCATGGGTTACAATGGGAAAATCAATAGGACGTTGTGTAGGTAATGAGGGAGTTGGGCAAAAAATGTTTCAAGTGAATAAGCGCTATTGAGTTGTTTTTTGTGGACAAGTGCCGCTCTACTTATGTAGTTGTCGTATTTAACGGTTTTTGTGGCGTTCATGAAAAACGTCAATACTCGAAAGCGCGGTCTTCCGTACCTATTTGGGGGATTTTAATGACTCGAATAAAACGAGAGGGAAATTATTGCAGAAACTTAAAATTTTCTTCAATATTTATTTTTTGTGAAAGATAGCCGTCGATGTTGTGTCTCTCTTCTTTGACAAGTAAATTAAATAAAGAAGTTCGTAAACTAACGAACCTGCTACTTTGAAACTTGGACTAATTTATCTTTTGAAAAAGCTATTAATTTTTTTGTAATTTTCCAACTTTTCACTGTTAGTTACCATCTGTGTGACGTTATTACGTTTACTGCGGCGTTTTATTGGTGTATTCTTCTCGAAGTGCCATATGATCGAAAAAAAGTTCGTCTAGTAGGCCGCGCAATTTATCTATATTAATAAAAATGAATCGCTGAAATGTATGTACGCTCATAACTTCAGAACGGCTGCGATTCTTTTTTTTACGTGTTCCTTATTGTCAGGACAAGGTTTATATGTAAGAAAATTTATAAAAAATGAGACGGCTAAAAGATAAAAAAAAATTAAAAATTTTGCATGGGAATCGCCACTTCGAATGAATTTGAATAGTTGGCGTTCCTGACGGATCTGTCGCCCAACTGACGTGTCATACAAAACTATCTCTTCCGTGCGATTGTGAAAAAAGTATTATTGCATTTCAAATCGTTCTTTGTTTTTTCGTAAAAAAAACGTCGTTTATTTTAAGAAAAGTCTTAGTTAAAGTGAATTTAGTTACGCATTGCGAAAGTGTCTTATTAATTTTGATCTGCCATTCTATTTACCTATGTTCAGTTTGTTGGTTTCGACAAAACTTCAAACTTTACCGTTATTCGAGGATTTAATTTGAAGTTTTCAATATTTTAAAATTCTCAAGACAAAATTTACAGATTTGATTGACTGTGAAAATAATTCTGTGTCGTTTTATGAAGTTCATTACAATGCCGAGAAGACGACAAGCTGACATAAGTCCACGAAGTCAATCAAAGTCAATCAGTTGATCAGCGTTGTGCTCATAATCAACATCATAATCAAACATTGAAGCAAGACATTGGACGGTATGAATAAAACTGAGTAGATACTCATATTCGAAGTACGAAATACCTACTTCATTATTACCTGAGCATCTACCCGATGTACTGTGTATCTACTTGCAAACATTGTATCTCCCCGGACACAAATTGAACATTTACGCGTTTTGTGAGCATTTAATCTAAAAATGAGCATCGGCGTGCCAAATGACTATTTGTCCTTATAAATGATAAATTAAATGTAATATATTTATATTTTTGTTTCCTTAAGAATATAGAGTTAACAAAGTTAGTTGAGTTAGAAAAGTCTCTTTTGCTCCACGTTGGCCACCAACGAGCGATTTTCATGATTTTTGTGAAACTTTGCTGGTTTTGAATTTGAATTTTCTGTCCTCGATAGTTGATGCTCAGCAAGAACCACGGGAAGGTCTGGAGCAGATCTCGCTAGGGAAGGAGAGGGCTAGGAATTGTTAATGAGGGATAGAACGTTATACAGTACAATACAACGGAAATACAATACAGGTACCTACAATCTAGCTACAATACAGAATACACTACAGATACAGATACAATTCAGATACAATACAAATGCAAAGTTAGTACCCAATACACCATCGGAAGAAATTGCACCAAAAATTGAGAATGTTGCAAAATGAAAACCCAAGCAAGCACACCGATGGAACTCGGGACGAAATCTATTGGTCGCAGCGCTCACACGCCCAAGGGAGAACGCAGCCGCATAAATCCAAGGTCGTCTTACCTCATTCTCAAAGAACGATGCAACCCAGCATCTAAGGGCCAAAAGAACCCCCCAGGCCAAAGCGTCTGACGACATGGAGAATTCAGTCTCGGAACCAAAGAATGCACTGTTGCAAAATTAAAACCCAAGCAAATGCACCGTGAAAACAAAGCATTTGCACCACTGGAGCTAAATTGGCAAGACCCAAGTTAAGTTAGTAACACATACAATATACAGTACAAAATGCTTCAATTACAAAAGTTACAATATACAAATTTCTCCACGTTTGCCAACAAAGAGCGATGACTTTGCTCGCTCGTTGCTGTTGTCCAGCAAGAACCAAACAATACGAGGAGGTCTGGAGTGCGTCTTGCCATTAAAAGAGAGGACTAGGGTTTGATAGCATGGGTGAAGGACACCGTATTTTGTGAATTATGAACGCTGCACTTTGTATATTCCAAAGCCGTACTTTATCAGTCCTGAATGCATGTTATTAACAACATATTTAAAAAAAAATCGGGCATTTTTGGAAAAATATCCACTTTCCTTCGTGTTCACAGCACGTAACACAAAACATCTTCGCTAATATTTATTAACAATAAATTAGAAATTCGCGAACACGTGCTATTTTAAGCCAAAACGGAGATCCAGTGTTGCTGCTACCAGACCGGAATCAAAACTCAACACAGAGGATGGAAAAATTGACCGTTTATCAGCTCACGTGACAGTGACGTCATTGTACGTCACGATGAGATTGCAAAAATTATTTTTCATATTTTAGATCAGAAATTGTACATTTTCGGGGTTAATTTAACAATGTTTAAACAAATTAATTTGTTTTTGCTAACCTCGTATTCTTAGGAAGATGGATTTCGGTTTAATTATCATATATTGATAGTTATCATATTTGAACATTATGAATTCTATTAATTATGTTTAAATTTTATTTAATTATATCGCGAAAATGTATAGCTTTGACCCACCAACTTCAATCGTTTCGAAAATATATCCAAAATGTAAACATTGTCGACCAAACGAATCACGGAATCCGATAAATTAAAACTGAAGTCGTACTTACCCTGTTTTCGGTCTTTTTCGGAAAAATATTCATTTTCGTCCGTGTTCACAGCACTTAACACAACAAATTTTCCTTAATATGTATTAACAATAAAATTGAAATTCGCTAAAACGCTCCACTTTTACCAGTGCCTAAATTAAGGAAAATTTCCAACTGCACAACTGCACAATCACCTTTAATCCCCCTTCTGTCCTCTATACTACTACTACTGGTAGTACTATTAACTTACGCTCGGGAAGTAAAAATATGTATTAATAATGTGAAAAAGTTTCTGCACAAATTGCAATTTCCAGCTGCACAAATGCATTTTTGAACTGCACAATATGTGTAGAAGTGCACATTAATTTAGGCCCTGACTTTTACGCCAAAATGACGCGACGATCTTGCCGCCATCAAACAGAAATTAATACTGAACAGAAAGGATCGTAAAACGTGACCTTTATACAGGTAGCTCACGCGACATTGACGTCATCGTACGTCACCATGAGACTGCAAAAATTATTTTTCATATTTTGACCGGGAAAATGCACATTTTCGGGGATAATTTAACAACGTTTAAACAAATTGATTTGTTTTTAATAATTTCGGGCTTTTAGGACAACGTGTTTCGGTTTAATTAATATATATATTTATGCTTATCATATTTAAACATTATAAATGATATTAATTATGTTTAAAATTTATTTATTTATATCGTGAAAATGTATAGCTTTGATCAACTGATTTCAATCGTTTAGAAAATTTTCCCAAAATTTAAACATAGTCGACCGAACGAATCACGGAATCCGATAAATTAAAACTGAACTCGAACTTAACCTGTTTTCGGTCCTTTTCAGAAAAATATCCATTTTCGTTCGTGTTCACAGTACTAATACAACACATTTTCACTATTATTTGTTACTAATAAATTAGAAATTCGTGAAAAGAGCCCTACTTTTAAGCCAAAACGGACTCTGATGTTGCTACCACCAAACCAAAATCAAAAGTAAACGCAGAGGACCGAAAAATGTGACCTTTGTACATTGTACATTTTCGGGGCTAATTTAACAATGTTTAAACAAACTAATTCGTTTTTGCTAACCTCGTGTTTTTAGGAAAATGGTTTTCGGTTTAATTATCATATATTAATAGTTATCATATTTAAACATTATGAATTATATTAATTATGTTTAAATTTTATTTAATTATATCGCGAAAATGTATAGCTTTGACCCACCAACTTCAATCGTTTCGAAAATTTTTCCAAAACTTAAACATTGTCGAATAAACGAATCACGGAATCCGATAAATTAAAACTGAAGTCGTACTTACCTCGTTTTTGGTCCTTTTCGGAAAAATATCCATTTTCGTTCGCGTTCACAGCACTAACACAACATATTTTCCGAATATTTATTAATAATAAAGTAGAAATTCGCTAAAACGCTCCACTTTTACGCCAAAATGAAGCGACGATCTTGCCGCCATCAAACAGAAATTAATACTGAACACAAAGGACCGCAAAACGTGACCTTTATACAGGTAGCTCACGTGACATTGACGTCATCGTACGTCAGCATGACACTGCAAAATTTATTTTTCATATTTTGACCGAGAAAATGGGCATTTTCGGGGATAATTTAACACTGTTTAAACAAATTGATTTGTTTTTAATAAATTCGGGTTTGTAGGAAAACGAGTTTCGGTTTAATTATCGTATATTGATGCTCATCATATTTAAACATTATAAATGATAATAATTATGTTTAAAATTTATTGATTTATATCGTGAAAATGTATAGCTTTGATCAACCAGTTTCAATCGTTTCCAAAATATTCCCACATTGTCGAGTAAACGAATCACCGAAC